AATTTGTTTAACCATACTAACTATTATTAAATTTATAATGGGATTGGGGGGGGGGGGGTTCAACCAAACCTGCCATCCTCTCTGCCTATGAAATTATGCAATATTTAAATTTGGAAGAGAAAAAATCATATATAAATATATAATTTATGTAAATTTTTTCTTTGATTCGCTCTGGATTTCTTTTGCTTAGATATAAAATTAAAAGGAGGGTTTTAAAAATATGATACGAATTGTATTTTAAAATTAATTAGTTTTTTTTTCATTTATTTTTCTTAGTTTAATGGAAAAATATTTGTATGAATATAATGCCTGTTTGCTGATGTGAATAATTATTATTTTTTCTAGAATAAATATGATAGTGACAAATTTTTACATTTATTTTTAGATATTTTTTACGTGATATTTTATTTTATATGCATAATATTATAAAAGCATTTTGTACAAAATATAACTTTACAGCATATTTTCATCTGTCCTTTTTAAGATAAGAATTTAGTGTGGAGTTTTATTTGGGAAGTAATTTCCACAATTGGTTGCATTTCAATCTCAATCCCTACTAATATTTTTTAACAGTTTATCACCCATTCTATTGTGTTAGGCACCATTCATGTCCAAAAACTTTACAATCGCTTACAGAAATAGTTCAAAATTGAATTCGGGAACAACCAAATTAATCTAGACATTACATGATAAATTGATATGAAAAAAAAATCATCAATTAAAGGTTTTGGGTAATAAAATATCTTATCTATCAAAATGATAAAAAATAAGTAATGGTCTTTTCTAATTTTTTAAAAGAGGTTCAGTCCAAATAGAATTTGATGCTCGGGTTGTCTAGATAGATTAGGGGAGATTAAAATAATTTAAAAAATTGTAACTGCAATGCATTATTTACTATTATGATAACATTTTTAAAAACTTTTTTTTAGGGGTAAACAGAAAATTATTCATTGCAAAAAAAAGATTCCCTGGGAAAAATTTCTCGCTAATTCCTTCCCCTGGATATCAAATCTTGATAATAAAATTTCATGCGGTAAAAACTCCCAGGGAAATTCTAGAAAAAAAATTCCTGGAAAAAGTAATCCTTAATTTCTTAGGATCCTAAAACGTATAAGCGGAAACTAATTCACCATGGTAAAAAGCTTCCCAAAATATTAATAATTTTATTTAATATAAAATGGCAATTAATCAATAAAAAGAAATCTCTAGAAAAAAAAATACCCGGATGATTTTAAAAATTTTCTGAAAAAAGAGTTTTAAGTAAAAGCCTTGAAAAAAATAATAAGGTAATTTTACAATTCTAAAATATTTCCTAGAATACTCCACTTAATTATATAAATAAAATAGCATGAATGGAACGCGCTCCAGAGAAATCACTGAGAAGTTATAGTTTATAATAATAGTTTTTCTTAATTTTATTGAAATTAGGTTAGGTAATTTAGGGTAAAGGTCAGACACATATGGTTTAGGATTAGTCTACAAGAGTTTTGCTTAATTTCACCTGAGCCCTAAAAAATGAAGTTATTATTAAACTTAACCCATTTTTAAAAAATATGAACTAACCTGCACCCTACGCATATCCCTTTTCTTTCTTTTTTTATTGCAAATTTTTTCAATATCACTATTTTAAATTATCTCCCGCATATTATATTAATATATATAATCGGATTTATACTGTAATACTTTATTGTCAATCGCTATTGTTTTATTTGTCTATATATATATATTATTCCGCCATTTCTTTTATTTAAATTAAAAAGGCTTTAACTTATACCAAAATTTTTTTCGGCTTCATTATTTTGTTATTGTATTAATAAAGCGACGAGTACAAAAGCCATAAAGGCCAATATACTCCAGCTGAAATCTATCTCACTTTTCTCATAGGCAAGGAAAACTCTTTTTGTCAAAGTTTTTTTTACTATTTATTATTTTTTTATAAAAAATTTCTTAAATTTAATTTTTGAATGTTTCAAAATTAAGTAAAAATAATTTTTAAGCATCTTCTTTTATTCTATTTCTTTATTTTATATGTTTTTAAATATTTGCCTTTACAAGAAACTCATTTTGTTTAATGATTTTTTTTAAAAAATAGCTTAATTATTTCCTGCCTATAACTTTAAGTAAATTGCTTTTCATTAATTATAATAAAACTTATAGTTTTCAATTTCCATTATAAAAAAGTTAATCTAATATTGCCACACAAATTTTAAAATAATATTTATATTTTAATTTACTTTTTAATTAAATTTAAAAGCAAATAATTTAATTATAAAACTACGAAGTTATTTCTTAAAGCGAATCTTTATGATTTTATAAAACTTTTTTTTATGTTTTCTAACAAAAAAAAAAATTGTTTAGAAGCTAGGTAGCAAACTCTAATACAAATTAATAATTATAATTAATATTAATTTTCACAATAATTTGTCCCTCTGTCGTTTTATAAAAAAATATATTAATTCATTATAATAATATATTTCTTTTTTAGGATTTTTTTTAAAAATACGTATTTTGAAATGCAAAAATCTACTCCAAATCGGCACAAAAAAAACAGTTTTTAAGAGTGGAAATATAGCATAAGTTTGGATATTGTTAAATAATTCAATGTATTATCTCTCATATGGAATTTTAGCGTTGGAATTTAAATATAAAATAGAATCAGCAATGCAGTATTACTTTATTAAGTTACATTAACATCTTTCACCGGCTTATAGTAGGACTTCTAAGTATTTAAGTCTTATCAGGACAGTGGGCGTCATGGCGCAGTTAGATGGCCACCAGAAAATTTTAATTTATTTTTTAAAGTATGTTTTTCTTTTTTTTTGTGTTAAATTTAGATAAAATTTACAATTTTTGGAATATAACTTATAGAAGAAAATTTCTAAAGATCCACTATTAAATTTTTAATTTTTTAATAATTGACTCGCACAATTTAAATTTTCAAGATCACTCTCCCTCAAAAAATCCAAATTATATAATTATGATTGGTTATAGTTCATCATAAGGAAGTCGAATATAATGTTTGATCAATCATAAGCCCTTTCCTGCAGGAATTTATTCTTGCCTGAAAAAAAGTTTGAATGAAGTACCCCTTTTTACTTACAATAAGTTATCAAAGAAATAATTTGAATATTATTTACTATTGTTCTTAAATAAATACGTGTGAAATGACGCATGAGTTTTATTCATGTTTTAACAATATTTTTGCAATATGAAAAAGATCTATAATAAAAGAATTTGAAATATAGTTAAGAGAGTCCATAGATAGGTGGCAGGCAGGTTAGAAGGAAACGGCTATAAGATTTTACGACTAAGAGTTAGACATCTAAAAATTTGCCAAAATATCTGCGCTTAATTTTTAAAAAAATGAGGGCTTTTATTAGTAGTTTTCTAACTTATTTAGTATACTATTGATTATGGCATTAATCTTGTTGTTTCGTTAAATTTTATTACATTAAATTGATCGTGCCTTTTTTGTATTATATAGTTCTTCTTAATCAGCCAATTTAAGACTTAAATAAAAAATCCTATAAGCCAGTGTTAAAACCCGGATGTTTTTTTGTATATTTTGACAATAAAATCCTTGAAGTTCTAGTTTTGTTCAACCAGTTAATCCTACTATAAAAACTACTTTCTGCTCTCTCCTTTTTCTAATTCTTTATCTGAAGTAATACCATCCTTGAAGTCTAGTATTGTTTTATCTGTTCTCTCCGTTAAAATTTTAATAAAAAACCTCGTTCTGACTTATCCGTTTTAGCATAATTTCGTCTCTTCCTTCCGTCAAAATACCATAAAAACCTTACTTGGTCCATTTTCTATTCCTTTACATGAAGTAATATCATCCTTAAAGTCATATTATAGTTCTGTCTGTTTTCTTCTATAAAATCTTATCTCAATAGCCTCGGTATAAGATGACAAGTAGATAGAGGATACATACATCTCCGCCATAACACATAATAATAAGACGAGGGACGTGGTTTCGACTTTCGAGTTTTAGATCAATAAATACAACATCAGTTTAAAGGACTTAGAACTAAAAGTAATCAATAAAATTTTACTAAATTAAACTCTAGGTTTATAACTTGCCAGTTTTCCAGGTTTTTAGTTCTTATAGGAAAGCCGTTAAAACGATTTAAAGCCGACTAACTACCTCGGAGTTGTGTGTCAAGTGGTGAAATGGCAAACAAAAGAGATCAGATGTTCGCCTGGTCTCCTTAAAAAAATCAATGAAAATAAAATAAGGAAAGCTAATAAAAAATAGGAAAAATAAGAAAAATAAATATTTCTGCGTATTCCATAACCAAAATTTCAAAAAAGCAAAAAGAGAGAAAAGCGGATTAAGTATAGGTTAAATTATCACATAAATTTTGTCATTGATTTTTTTTGTAATCCAATATAGTTTTTACTAATAAATTGTCAATTTTATTCAATAAAATTCAAGATATATGTTTTTCAAAGGCTTAATTTATGTTTGTTACTTTACCCCATATAATTTGGCAGGTGTGGTAAATGACTTTTATTAGATCTTAAATGATGCTTTAAGCTATATGATACATAAAAATGGAACTAAAAAAATCAGGGGTTCAGGCAAAAAAATCAGGTACGGGCCCAGGTTAGGATTTTTTTATATTTAATTCAGATTTTTTGCTTTTCCATCTTTACCAAAATTTGCAAGTTCATAATAATCGGATGATAAAGAACGTGCTTTCAAGTTATTAAATAAAATGCATTTAAATTTAATGCGATTTTTTGACAATAAATTAGGTCCACCTAAGAAAAGCCTCAAAAGCCCAAGCAGTTGACCTATATGCCTCATATAAACTGTGTTAGACTGATAGGTTATCTTATCAATGATTAAAGTAATTCTTCGAATAATCGAATTATTCAAATAATGCGTCGTTAACTTAACCTATTTGTTCCAGTAAAATATCTTGTTTTTTTTAGAATTTTTATAACTTTTACACTCAAAGTTGAATTTTTCTTTATTTTTAAAAATGTCTTACCTTGTCATAAAATTCTTGAGGGTCGTTATAGGATAATTTTGCTTTTTCCTTATTATTTTCTGCTAAAATGAATCCAGGCTTTTGATTCGAATAAAATAATTTACAATTCAATATAAGGATCACGAGACAAGCACTCCTAATAAACATTTAAAGGGTGCGCTGGATTTTAATTTTTAATATCAAAATTAAGTTAAAAAATAATTATAATATGCAAAAGATATAATTAATTTGTCATTAAAAAATTTTAAACTAATAGAATTTTCAATATTATGTATGACATATTTTTTCAGACTATATTTTTCGTGTTTTTTATTATTAGTATAATATTTTTGAAATTTCTAAATCAATATACAATATTTTTATTTTTTAATAAAAAAAACATTATGAATAATATTAAGATTTGAATTATGTTTCTTATAGTATGATAACAGAGTACAAAATTTCGTTAAAAAATATCGGGTCTAATCAAATAGGGGGGGGGGGGAGAAATTAGAGATGACAAACTAACATAATAAAGGGTTATTATAATATGTAAGGTTTACCAAAAAAAAAACTTTTTAAACGGAGTTACAACTAGCGTTCCCATTTAATATTTTTGTGAAAAAAAGTGGATATATATATTTATAATCAACCTAAATCACTAACACCTCGACTAATTTTGGAATTAAACTAGTAACCTTTTCCAAATGTTCGAAAAAATTAAGTGTATAATTTTGTATTTATAGTAATATTCATTTTTATTATTTTAAAGAACCCATGAGATTAAAAAAAATACATTTAAAACTAATAACCAATTCAAATGAAAATGAGCCAAGATGTTTATTTATACAAAAAATTATCGTTTTATTATCTATACCACTTATCAGAAATTATTTTTAATTATTTTTTTTTGAGAAACCTTCAATTTTAAAAGCGATTTTTGGAGGAAAAAAAAATAAGTGATAATAAAATATTTAAAATATTCATATCTTTTCTTAACCTAAATATCTCTATTCTTTTAAATAATGTTAAAAATTTATTTTAATTTATTTCAAAAAAAATTTGAATTTTGTATAAATGTGAATTAGTGGTTAAACAATTCGATTTGAGCCGATTTTAAAAAACGGCTAACCCAATATTTTAGCCAGAAAAATATTGCCTAAGCTTGCGAATAGATGTCAAACCTTTGTGCCATCTATTAACAAAATCTTCAGTCTTGAGTATTTTTATGAATAGAATATTGAGTTAAGGTTTTAAAAATCGGCTCAAATAGAACATTTTTACAACACTAAACGTAATGGATCGACGGATTTATCTATAAATTTTCTAAGTGTTACTTTGATTGATTTTATATCAAATTCGTTAAACTGAAGGCAGATTTTTTAAAGTATCTAGATTAGATATATAAATGTTATATAATATCTAGATTTATGTTTATATTAAAAAATATTATGTGGAATAGTAGTACTGTAAACGTTACTTCAAAAAAGAAACGCATTGCTCGTTACGTCTAAAAAAATAAACTTTGCACCGTTACTCGTTACTTTGGGAAAAGGAACGTGAGTTACTGGCTTCAAAAAAGTACCGGGTTATTCGTTGCTTAAAAAATTAAATATTATATATATAAAAAAAATTTTTCCCTTATAATAAGATATCTTAATAATTTTTTTAGCTTGTCCAAAATCGAAAAAATATAAATAAATAAATTTTGAAGAAAAAAATAACAAGCTATTTTTAATGTAAAAATCGTCATTTACAAAAATTTATTTTTTTAAAAAGTAACAGAATTAATAAATTTGAATAAAAATTTATTAAAAATTTATTTATCTGGGTAATTTTTATGGAAAAACTAGAAGTAATATCAAAGCAAAGTATATAATTTTTCGTATTTTATTCTCGTTTTTTTGTTTTGTTTCCGTTTTTTTTTGGTTTTTGGTCGGTTGTTTTTTATTCATTCTTTTTTCTTTTCTTTTCTTTTTTTTAATTTTAATTTTTATAAAACTTGGCTTTGTCCAAATATTTTATTATTAATTTGCGAGAATTTATAAATTATGAGATTTACAAAAATTTTGGACACAGCCTTATATAAATAAAATAATTCAAAAATATTATATTATAAGATAAGATATTTTTGTAATAATTTTTTATTTATTTTTAAAAACGTTGATTTTAAAAATTTTGATCAGATAAATATGAGTGCTTAGTGCGCAGAGGATGAGAGGTTGTATTATATTGGATAAATAAAAATATTAATTGAAGGAATTTATTAAAATTAAAGAAGATCTTTTTGAAAATGCTTCATTCAGATTAGAGGTGGGCGCGTGCCGTGAAATTACGGGTGACCCATCGTGTCACGGTGGGTCACGGCGTGAGTGTCAATAAATTTTAAATTATTAGGCGGGACTGGGCGTGAAGGGCCTTCCCAAAATTTTTCCCGGGCGTGATCGGGGGTGAACATGAATTTCCCGTGAATCACGGAAATTTTAATTTTTTTTTATAAATATAAATTTCCAATTTTTAATTATAATACATATTTTCTAATTTAATTTAGTTCTTTTTTAAAAAAGAAATTTTTGAATACAATATTCTCAAGCACTTAAGGTAGGCTTAATTCTAGCTCCTAATTTCAAAAGCCTTAAGTTTTAAATAGACGAAGAAAAGGAAGATATTTACAAAACAACCTTAAAAATGTAAAATGATATAAAATTAGATGATATGCATAAGTCAATGCCAACTGTTATTTATAACTTTCCCAATTTATCCTAAATTCATAAAAAACCATATATTCTAAATGAAACATATTTTTAGATGATTCTGATGAAGCATCAACATCTACCGATGAAAACTATGTGAATTTAAAAGATTCATCCCATAAAACAAATAACAATGGCAATATTTTGAAGTTTTGGAAGCAGAAAAATTTATTTCCTTTTTTGAGAAAATTAGAGAGTAAAATTTTGTCAGCCCTGGCAAATTCGGCTTCTAGTGAAAGGTTATTTTCTGTAGCCAATTGCTTATTAGTGGAATGGCGTACACAATTGAAATAAAAAAAAATAGACATTCTTGTAAAAATTTGGATTTATAATATGTATTTATTTTTTGTTATTATGGATTAAGGAATTAAAGAAATAAATAGAATAAATTCAAAAAAGTGTAAAAAATTATAGCATTATAAAGTTATGAAAAATTTAAAAACTCCGTGAATTTTCGGGCGTGACGGGCGTGAATCAAAATATTGCCTTTCGTGAGAGGGCGGGTCGGGTCAAAAATTTTTTAGAAGCGTGAATGGGCGTGAATATTTTTTATTGCCACCGTGAGTGGGCGGGCCGTGAATAAAAAATTAGGCCCGCGCCCACCTCTAATTCAGATCCTCATCCAATTTTTTTTTTATCTTTATTAGAAAATAATTTGTACGTGTGTTGTTTTTTAAAGTAATCAAGTCTACCTTTTCTTTGTCAAGATCTTTTCTCAAACATTATAAGGTCAAGTTCCCTTCCTTTCCTGACAGCTAGTTTTACGAGGGCCAATCTAACTTAAATAGCGGGTGAATTATTGCTGATAACATATATTCAATTGAAATAAAATATTATCAAAATATAAATTAACATTACTTCAACTGTATACCCTTTATCGTTATCATACATCATAATCACATTTATAAGTGGCTTGAATAAAAGAAAATTTATAATACAATAAAATATGTTTTTTCTATATCTTTTAAGAAAAATTTGAAGTAACGAGTAAAGCTTTGCGTTACTGTTGCTCAAAAAATAAACACGTTACCATTACTCGTTATCTCTAGAAGAAGGTAATGAATGACCTTCCTTTTCTTCAAAAAAGGTAACACCGTTAATAAATACGTTACTTTTTTAAGTTACTTTAAAAACTTTAAGAAAGTTTTATTATTAAAAGTCATCGGTTAATATTTATATTAATTTTATATTCTATATGTAGATAAAATATTTAACGGAATAAAAAAATGTTTGGTTCTGTAAAAATTTAATTTTTACAATCGATTTTTAATAATTTTGACATATTGTACACTTTACATGATTTTATATTTAATGTATCTTGAAAAAAAATAGTATATCTTATTCAATACATTTTTAAAATAGTATCCTTTAATAATTTTATTGGATATGACATAAATCAAGATCGGAAAACATTTTAAAATTATAGAAAGTTGGCCAGCCTATAGTCCTGTAAATCGGCCAGGAAAAAATAAAAAGACCGGCCTGGGGATGGGGCTTTAATTTTTTAATTTCAATATATTTAATCATAATGTTTATCTATAATATTTTTTAGCTTTTTAAACAACGGTATCTCTCAACAAATACTGCATAGGTATCCTGAAATCTATATTTCCCAGACTCATGATTTTCCAGCCTAAGCTTGTCATTTTTTTTAATATAATAGTTTTAAACGTTTTTTATCTAAAATCTTTTTTATTAGATTGACTTACCTATGCTAAATGATAATATTTTTTAGAAAAAAAAGTAAAACATCAATTGTTTTAAAATGGAAATCACAACGTTTTTTTCAAAGCGGTTTGAGGCATGTTTTCAGCAATTTTTTAAAATTTTCCTAATAAAGGATAATAATTTGTTGAATTTTTTGTACCAAATAATATTTAAAAATAAAACATGATATAAAGATAGTGTTGTTAAATGACGCAAAAAAGATTTTACCCCAAATATTGTTATGAAGCCTCTTGATGTTCAGACACTTCTGCCTCTTGCAGGCCAAACTTCCAAGTGGATGACTTGCCTTATGTGTTAGCGGCTTTTAAAAGTCGCCTATATCAAGCCGTTTGACAATGCTAGTCAGGAGTTTCTCAGACGCCATTTAATTGTTTATAAAAATCAATATCGTATGTTTTTTATTAACTATTTAAATAGCTTAGAGAGACTTCTCCTAACCATCATGTTTTTTTTAAAAAAAATTATATTATACAAAAAAAATTAATTCGAAATTATTTATTATCTTTTATTTAGAAATATAAATTAAAAATTGCTGGAAACATTCCTCAAAAAACTGTTCGAAATAATTTTCCATCTGGAAATGGCATAATAGAACACAATGTAAAAAGTAATTACTCATCTTGACTTCCTATCGGGCTTTTGTATTAAACTCTTAAGTTCTTAAAAGTAATTGGTTAATCTAAGAAGCCTTTTTGATTATATAACTTTAACTCAGAGTTTAAGCTAGAGATCTAATTTTTAGGCCTGGCCGGCCAATTTTATTGCCGTAATCAAAATAACTTTATACGAGTTATCAGTTAGTGATCTGCATC